ACAAAAGTCACCTTAATGGCAACTTAACCTAGTTGACTGAAGATCCCAAGATCTAGATTCAAGGAACAACTAAATTATGCATGATTCAAAAGAAGCACTAAAGAGATAATCTCTCCTACCTATTCCTATGATAAACTACTACTGTCTATAAAGTTTATTAGGGTAAGCTATATTTTTAATAACTCTTATACTTTGAAAAATTCAAGTGGGATATTGCAAGATATTCCTAATAAGAGTCACCTACATGGGTATGAAGGGGTCGCTTCTATGAGAATTTATAAAGACTGAATTCTCTGAAATACTTATGAAAATCAGGAGTTGTTTAGGGCCAAAATGAATACAATCATGAGAACCAATTGTGTTAGGAAAGAGACTGTGTGAACTCTATTTGATCTGATTTATCAAACAGCTGAATAGTTCAAAACATCACGTTCACCATTTAGCCGGTAAGTGTGATAGACTTTCACTTAGGAAGGTTCAAGGCCAAAAGCTACCTATCTCGATGCATGATTTTTTCAAATATGTACTCTTTATAGGGTGTCAGGATTATCATTTGCATACTAACAACCAATTTTTTCATTCATGTGGGAGAATGTTGGACCAAAACAGATTTTTAAGTGTAAAAAAAAAACTTAATTTTGGTCGACTTTGAGCCTAAATTAAAGTAGGATCCGATTGTTATTTTGAATAAAATTTTATGGGTTCATATTCTACTCTGTAAGGAGGATAATTTATTATATTCACTTGCTCAAATTGAGTAAGAAATAAATGAAAAAATAAGCTCAAAAGTGACCCTCTTAAGATGTGAAAATAAAAGTTATGTAATGTGAAATTTGACACCAATCCCACATTGGTTGATGAAGAAATTTAACATGAGTATATATAGATCAAGTTTGCTCTATGAGATTGGGCCCCAATGGGTACCACAGTTTTATGAGCGGAGCGAGTACCTACATGCCTTCAATTGGATCAAACACGTTCGCGCGTGCCGCCTGCCCGCCTCGCCACGACTATGAGCCGGGCCGGACTCAGGCTCAGATATGGTTTAGACTAAGACCTATCTTTTTTAGAGAAAATTTATTTAATTAATTGGGTGAGAATTTTAACCAAAATTTAATTTTTGGTACCCGTTAAATTGTACTGGTTCAGATTTGTTGCTTTTCTCTAATTTGAAATTTTTAAGTTGTGTCTGTTCATAGAAAACAGTTACTCAAGGTGTCTTCTAGCTGTTGCATTTCATCTTCTGGGCTGTGTCTTTTAGTATAGTGGCTGTCTGAAAAGTCATCAAACTGTCTATAAATACCCAAGCTCATTGCCATTTTGCATCATTTTCATTTGTTCAGTCCACTTTCGGCATTAAGTCAGACAATAGAGCATAACATTTTGGCATTAAGGCAGTCAACATTTAGAGAGTACACATCACAATTTTTGGTTCGCTGGACGAGTAGATTGGAGTTCTACGTCTGCTTGTGTAAAGATCATTGTATCCTGGGAGGTAGAAGCATAAGCACCGTGTGTGGGGGCGAAATTTGTCTTAAGGACATAGTGTCAAATACTAACCTTGATCTACACCAAGTTCAATAACAATTTATGTTCTGCAACCGGGTTAGTATTTATATTAGTTTGACAAAAAGTTACATGTAACTCTTTACTGTTACAGTTTAGTTAGAGTAACTCGTTTCTGTGTAACTTTTTTTATGGTTCAAATCAGAAATTTTAATAAGTAATTTTACAATATTTGGAACTCTACATCCAACACAAACATTATCACTGAAATATCAACATAATAAACCTACTAAATAAAAATTTAAGAGCTAAATATAGTAAAAAAAAAAAAATTAAAAATCGACTAACACATAATAAAGACTATAATCAATACTCGAATAGCGTAGAGACGATTTCTCGTAGAAAATAAAAAGTCAAATAAAAGCCAATTGCAATAACTTTCACTTGTAAAAATTTATAAATAATAAAATTAAAATCATCTGGAGAAACCTTAATACAATAAAAAAACTAAATAATTGAAATAAAAAAATTATAGGGTGAACACAAGTAAAAAATATATGTATAATTTTTAGAATATATAAATATAAGTATACATATAATATTTTATAAAAAAAAATTGAGGGTGGGCCCACGCCCCTCGACCCAGTGTGGCTCCGCCCATGTCTTTGATATCTCTTTGTTATACCACGTTTCTCTGCTTTACTTGTTATATTGTGTGTTAGTTATTTCGTGGCAAAAAGTGGAAGAATTTTGGGAGAATTTCTTGTTTCAAGTTAGGAATCAGTTGCATGAGAATAGAATAGGAGGGAGTTTGATGAAATACAAAAGGAGAGTACATTTACAAAATTAGTATGAAGTCACGCATTTTCTTTGTTATTTTACGCTTGTTGTTTGTTTGTGTGAATACCAACTAAGGGGGGAAACTGGTCTTTACTAAATCAGGTTCTCTAACATATTGGGCTAGTATTGGGCTAATATTTCATTTATGTTGCATGGATTAACTTGCATGATGTTACCATGAATATGCCCTATGTTTCTTTTTGGTGATGTTCTATACTAGTGATATAATGACATTTACACATATGATGTTTTTCATGAGAGATTAGTTGAACTATTGTGTGTAAGACTATGATCTTCAAAGCATTCATCCAAAGAAAGTCATTATACCTAGTTTTTGAGATTGTGAGGCTTATACAATGAGTGTTGCGATTTTTTTACAATTCGTTTTGTTCTTTGTGGTTTTCAAGTTATAATTTTAAATTTCTTACTCTTGTATTTTCACAAAATTGCCAAAGGAGAAATTTGTTAGGAAATTGATTGTGATTGGCTAATTTCGTGAAGCTTTGTTGTAAATCTCAACCTAAATCTATGGCCATGATGATTCAAACATCAAGTTTTGAAAGTTTAGTGGAAGGAGGAGTACAAGCATCAAAGCCAAGTTAAGAGATTTCTAATGTACCTTCAAGACCTTAAAACAAAGTTAATGACCTTGAGACCTAGAACCCGTTGTTTAATTTTAGACTTAGAATAATTAGGTTAAAATGAATTTGAAAATTATCCATGAATGACTTTTAGACTTTTTCTTGAAAAAGATTTCATAAACCTAAAGGTGTTTTGAAAATATAGAATGGGTCATTTATGGGACCTTATTTGCACAATACCTTTCACATGTCGGGTTGTTTAGACTGTTGATAAAAGGGGTTACACACCTAATTATATAATTAACTTATTAATTCGTACCAAATTTTTTTTTATTAATTGGTAATTGTAATATTTTAAGTTTTAAATTGGTAATTGTTCAACTTAATTTTTAATAAATCTATTCACCCCTAAGTTATGTCTAACAATTCGATGTGTATAATCGTGAGGGAAGATCAACTTCAAATCTCTCCCTAACTCTTTCCAAAGTGAACCAACATTTAATTAATACTAGGGCTATGCACACTTGATACTTATGTGCAGATAAGTAAAAAGAAAAAAGAGAAAAAGAAACTAAGAGGGCTCCTATATTGGCATTGAAGTGTCAATGCACACTTCTTTTGGGGGTCAAATGTAAGTGGTATCAATAAATATTTTCATTTAAATTCCAAAAGAAATTCTTATTTATCGGTAATTATTGTACTTTTTTGCTAAATTACTTTATTGCACATGAGGGTCATATAATTTCTTGTTATTACATTACCGACCAAACATCCATCACCCATGTGACCAATGCGGATAAACAGGGGGATTCAGCACCTAAGCCGGTCCCACACTCCCAACCATACAATTTTCCACCGTCAGATTAAAACCAACCAAATCCTCACACCCGTCGACCACGGCTCCCTCCCCCTTCAATATTTCAACGCTCTCACATGGGCAAAGGGGCCCCACACGTCCCTCCAGTTCACATCCAACATCTGTACACGTCTTGTCTTATCCACCACCGGCTGCTGACCGGATTTAGACCGTAAACAACCCGCTACAAATAAAATGTTGCATCTCTCTCTCTCTCTCTCTCTCTCTCAAAATTTGTTTAATTTACTTAAAATTGTGTTAAATTAAGTTCACACCAAATTTAGTCAATTTCGTATTAATTCATTTATTTAAATTTATTAGGGGTCTACCCATTTATACATTGATATACTCTCAATCTACTTATAATGGTATGTAATCGAGTTGATAGCGTGACGGGTTTTAATTGAGTTCCTACAAAATTATTAATTGGATGAATGTTATGAATCTATCCATTTATTAATGAGTAATAGGTCTATTTTACTTATTTATAATGTTATATAGTTGAGTTAGTGTCATGTTGAATATGTATTGTATTTACATGAGTCTAAATTGATTTACTTATTTAAAGGATTTATTTATTTATATTTATCTCTATAACAATTAAAATTAAATTCATTAAATTTTGTGTTAATCTCATATTTCAGATTGCAAATTCTTTAAAAAATTATCAATAACTAATTCCTAAGGAATTATCTCTTTCAAAGATAGCCCTAGGCCCTTCCGAGATATAATTTTCATTCGAAGATTATCGTATACACCAGTCTCCTAATATGTACAACTAAATTTCTCAATCGTATTTGTTAAGGTGGATTTGTATCGAATCTTAACGAGTTTTTGTCAAAAAAAATATTTTATTCATATTTCATTCGTTTATTAATTAATATTTAATGAATCATATTATATTAAATTCGTATCGTGTGTATGAATCGTATATAACTGAAATATAAATAAATTATATCGTATATATTTTTAATTAATTTTTTTATACATAATTTTTTTATTAATAATGTTATATTGAATTCACTTATTTATTAAATGAGAAATTAAAATAATATTCAAATCAAATTTTATGTTTTCTCTTAACTAACGTGTCACCTCTACGTACAGTTGTCAATAAGGACTGGCACACCAAATTATGAAGAATTATCATTTATCATAACTACAAAACCGGTGGGTCTTCTCCAAAGTCAATCAGTGGGTTGCTTCGGTCACTTCCGAAGCTCAGCTTCGTTAGCCGAAGCTAAAAGGCTCGTACCGCCCGCCATATAAATATCAGACTCCCCCTAAAGCCTTCACGTATGCGTCTCCTTGGGTGAATGGTCTGAAACAAAGCTTCAAGAAATTCTCTCTCTCAAAGCTGAAAAGCACTGTGTGTGTGTGTAGATCGGAGACGATTGGACGGTGACGATGGCGATGGTGTCAGGAGTGAGATCTACGTTGAACCCGAACGCTCCGCCGTTTATTCCTATGGCGGTTCGTCAAGTTGAGGACTTTTCGCCGGAATGGTATGAGCTGATTACGACATCGACGTGGTTCAGAGACTACTGGTTGAATCAACAGCAACAGGGAGACGATGGGTTTTATGGAGATGGAGAGGATGGGTTTTGTGGGAACGATGTGATTGAGTTGTTGCCTGACTCGATCGATGATGAGGATTTCTTCAACATGGAAGCTCAGTTCGAAGAGTTCATCTCTGAAACGCGAGAAGGGAACAGATCTCCTCTGTCGAATAAGGGGATGCTTCAAAATGGTATTAATTCTCTCCCTCTCTCTCTCTCTCTCTCTCTCGTTCTCTTGATCTCGATCTAGCCCTCGTAGGGTTTAATAATTTCGATTGGGTCGATTATGAAGCGATCTTTACTATTTCAAGTTGATCGGCTTCAAAACTTATTTTTTATTTTTCTTCGAATTCACCCCTAAACCCAGATCGATCCCCCAGGGGTGCTCGCACCTCATAAGGTTTGAAAAATCCTTAACTTTATACAGATTTTATGAATAGATTCTTACAATTTCACGGAGATCGTCTTATAGAGTTCGTTCTAGTTGTTTTTAAGTATTTGCCCCTAAACCCAAATCCGGGGTTTGTCGCAAATTGCGATTCATATTGTTTGTATATATGCATGCAGTGGGGTGTATATGTGTGTGTGTTTAATGGCCCTTTTTTTTTTCCTGGGTAACAGGGAAGATGAGTTTGGGTATCTTTTGCTTAATTGCTTACTTCAATTATTTAATTGGATTCATTGAGTTTGGTGTGTGGTATTGTAAGCCTAGACTTGTAAGCTCCACCATGTTGGTGGTGTTTATTTCCTCATATGATCAAGAGAAAACAAAAGATATCACTGTTGTGTATGAATGTTTAGGCAGTGGTTGCTTATCATATAGAGGTACCTTTGTTGTTATTAGGAGCCAAAATTACTAAGACATTAGAATTGTAATAGCTCAACCGAATATAACCTTGTTCTGATGACTGGTCGAGCTAATAAGTCAATTTTATAGTAGATTTGTTGTGCGAAGAGTGGGCTATCACCCATCTTGGCCACCTGCTGTCCTTATGATAGTTGGGATTTATCATATGGAGGGCAAGTTCCTAAAAATTTTGAGAACTGAAGTTGTGAAGTGAAATTGAACCGAAGTGATTTGAAAGCGCAGCAATATTGTTTCAATCCCAAACCTGAATGTACGTTTGGTTGTGGAAACAGGTTTGGCAAAGGATGGTGAGGCGCTGATCAAGAATCTGAGCTCTCCAAAAGGGAGAGGTCTCAAGTCCCCGGTGGAGCCACCAAAGTACTGGGAGAAGCCGGCCAAGCACATTAGCCCAAGATGCAGCCCCCGCCCCATCCAGCAGCCCCGCTGAATGTTAACTTTCAGGGTTAAGTTGCAGGGTGTGCAGTTCATCCAATTGTAGCTTTCCAACAATGTAGTCTTTGTTTCCTGTAGCTTCTGTGTAGAGCAAGGTTGCAATCTTGTATCTAGCCTTGTTCATAGTCTGACTTCTTTTCTCTCAGCTTAGCTGGGAAATCCTTGCAGATAATGTAAAAAAGATGTAGAAATTTGCAATGAAACAACAAAAAAAAGTTCATTTTGTTATTTCCCATTTGCCCGTATTCAAGGAAAAAAGAAAAGCATGTTTGAGTTTTGATGCAACAAGTGAAGGCATTTGTGTGTATGCCTTATTTGACTGCTATGCAGTGTTGCGAACTTGCTATGCAGTTGCCGACTCAAGTCTTTATTTCATAGAGCTGATCACTAAAAATCATTCTTCAAACAATCTTCAACAGTTTCTCTAGCTAAAATAGAGTATTATTAGAGATGTTCATTGGAATTGCTCTTAGGAGCAAGACAGGGCGATAGTTTCCCAATAGTAGCTGATGGAACTGGTAGTTAAACCAGATGTTTTCAAGTGATTTTTGTTTTGAAACCATTACCATTTTGTAGGAGTTAACTTGCTGAGTATGGAAATTTCTGTTGTGGACGAGCTTCTGGGCAGGCTCAGTTTGGTTCGATTGAACTAACAAAGAAGATTGGTTTGAAAAATAAATAAGCTTGAGCTCTGCCAAATCTGCTCGATCAAAGCCAAGATGGGTATAGCCAGGAATTTGGATTGCTATCGAGGTCAGCCAACATCACTAATATAATATTTAGGTGTTTTCCCAGTTTGGCTTGTCCTGCTCTGTTCCGAAGAATTAATACCATTTAGCATCCATATTCAAATCTCCAAGCAATTTTGTTCTATTTGGTGATTTAATCTCACACTTTACTCTTAGATTACTTGATCGGTTACTCTGTTTAGTTCAGTTGTTCTTTTTCAATCAAAGGTCACTTTGATCCTGTTCTCTTATTTCATGGACCCGCATTAGTGTAATCATCCATTAATAACTCACCACAGTTATCAGATCGAGGTGAAAGTAAAAAATAAAATGAAAATTCAGAGTCTATGAAGGCATTACAGTCAAGATGGTTATGAGATTGGTTTTCCAGTGAAGGCAATGAAGCACATACCAACATTGAAGTCGCACTGTACACACACAAAGCAGAGAGAGAGTGAGAAAGAGAGAACCCATGCCCGGTACGAGTCGACGCGCTACAGTGACGTGGACGCAGTAGCGAAGCAGAGGTAATTATTCGGTTCCTTTGGCATAAGGGTTTTAACCCTAAAATTTTATTGTTGTGTGGGCATCTCTGTAAATTGACAGTTAAGCCTGTTTGTAAGAAAAACTATCCCACACCACCCGTGGGTTATTGGTATCTAATTAGAAGGGATAAATCGGGTCAAAAAATCTAATCAGCTTTTCTTCATTCAAATCAAGAATTTGTGGGGCCTAGGGGTTTTTTAGTCAATCTTACCCCTTTATCTACGGAAACAAACACCCCCTTAGATTACTTGATTGATGCACTGTTTAGTTCTGGTGATGTAAAAAATACGACAGAGTAGAATGGTGGATTCAATGTATACTGAATAATTCAGTCTAAATTACAAGATTATTGAGAATTGAATCAAGGGGATAGGATAATCATAAAAAGATTTATAGTAGTTCACCAGCTCGACAGCTCTGTTAATCCACTCTTAGAGAAGTCTCTTACTCTGAGGAATATATTGATAATGTGGGTATATTACAGAGAGTATATGAATGAGGCTACAATTGCTTGCTTCTGTTGAGGGTTTTGCCTCTTATTTATAGTTGTCTTTAGGCTTGACTTGATTTATGGCGAGATCCTCGCTTCTTCTTTGTAACGGTTGTTTATATTGTGCAACGGTTGTGGTGAGTTTTTGGGGCACATACAATCCTTATGTCTAGATAAATGATTGTCGTTATCGTGGTGAGGCCTGGTGGGGACCAACTGTCTTTTATGCTATCTTTCCTGAGATGCAGATGTAGAGAGCTCAAGATCTGAAATCGAGGTTTATGGGTAACCTAGATGAACTGAGCTCCCAACCTAAAAGATCATGGCTTGTTATTATTGAGCTCAACATTATGTGAATTCGAGGTACCATCAAGTTCTATTGTCCTTTTTAGTCTAAGGCACTTTGACCCTGTTCTCTTATTTCATGTGCCCGCGTGAGTAAATATTATATGTAACAGTTGTATCATATCAGCATTGCCATATAATATAATTTTTTTAATAATAACCCATCAAATAAAAAAAGTGGATCCCACTTATTCAAATAACTACCCCTCTCAAAAAAAAAGAAACAAAAGAAAATAAACTATTCCTTCATGTGAGGTATTATTTAGGCATAATCTATTAAATCCTAAGAATATTCAACGTATTGACACTTGATAATTCAAAAGTATTGTGGAAGTGCTACATGACAAAATCTGAATAAAGGTGAGAGATAATCAGTTATAACTATATTTAAAAAAAAAGTAACTAACTGTGAATTACCAGATAGAAACCATCGACATGAGCAAAATCACTGAAGGAAATGGCTATAAAAAGACACTTGGTAGAGAAGATAAGGATACGCTCAAACACCCAAAAGATCCCCAATCTGGGCATTATTAAGAGTAGTTTAGATTAATTTTAAGTAGCAGTTAATACTGTAATTAAAGCTATTTATTTAGTTTTTTTTATAACTAAAGTCCATTTGATTAAATTAATAACAAATCCTCTTTTATTAGTTTTCTATTATTTTATTTCGCCTTTGCATAGTGTGGTTGTTCATTATTTTTTCATCCAATGAAGTCCTTTTTTTTTTTTTGATAAAAAAAAATTCATTTCAAACAATCATCTAAAAACTGTCTATCAATTGAAATATTTCTATTGATCCCAGCTGATTTTGGAGTAACAGAGAGTAACCACCCATGTAAAAAAAATTGGAATCGTTTTCTCCATTTTGTTTATTTGTTATTAGATAATTACATCACATAATAATATTAACATGGTGTAACTGTTAAATTTTGATGGTGTTAATTAAGGGATTGAGCAGAACGAATGAATTATGCTAAACGGTCTGGATCTGTGCTACAAGGTTCGTGAGGATTGTGATAAGGTTCTTGGAGAATTGGGATGACTTGCACAATGTAGTGGTTCACCAGCTCGGGAGTTTGGTTAGTTTACTCTTTAATGGAGTCGCTTGCTCCTAGGGTCTATATTAATGGCCTGTATGAATTACGGTGTGATTCATGTACAACTGGGGTTGCTCTTTTCGCATTGGAGGCACAATACAATATTTATAGTCTAATTCCTAGCTTTATGGGATTTGCAGCAAGATCTTTGCCTTCAATCCACAAGATCTCCATTGATTTTGGAAGACGATCTCGGTTAGTTGAGAGTTTAGTGCCTTGATTATAGCCTTCTATTGCTTCGGGGACGTCTTCCACTAGCCAGTTGTTCCCTCTAAGAAGAGCTCGAAGTCTAGGCCACTGAGCCCTAGACGTCTGTCCTCCTTGCCTAAGCTCATTTCCCGTGCTCATACTTAGTCGAAATTCTTTTCAGGTATCGTCGATCAGACTCTCCTAGTTGAGATCCCTATCTGACCTCCATGCCCGAGCTCGTGCTTAGAGTTTCTTTTGGGTATCATCAAATTTAATATTTATTCGTGTCATTGATTGTGTGCCTTTTTTTACAAGTTTCCTATAAGATAGCCGGAGGAGGATTCTATACCCATTCACAAATAAACAATAAGCAATGAAACAACCAAATTGTACAATGAAATAGTAGGATAAACTAATATTTTTATCAAGTTTGGGTGCAAAAAAGATCCATTTGTGTGGTCTTCTCTTTGATGTTTATGTGCAAGTAGCTGCATGCTGTTGTATTTAGTGAATGAAGAGATGGTTGTCCCTTCGTTGGTGGAAGACTCTCTCTCTCTCTCCCCAACACTAGAAAACTCATCTCTCTCATTTTCACTCTCACTCTCTCTCCATATCAATTTCAAATAATTTTTTTTAGTTTTTAATTAACTTAAAATAAAATAAAATTATTAAATGCTAATAGTTTAAAAAAATTTATCTTGATCTCAAATATTTCTTAAAACATAATAATTTTTTTGACATTGATAGCTTAGATTTATTTTTAAAATAAAATATTTTAAAGAAGATTTTATGAATGAAATAAATTATTCCAATTGAAATACTAAATTATGAAAAAAGCCTAAATTTTTTTCTTCAAATGTATGCATTACTTATAGAATATTATTATTAATTTTTGTAATAGTTACTTATGTTTTCATTACAGGTTCTTCGTACTTAATTCACAGAATAAAACCGCCAGCATTGATTGGATCAATTCAAAATGATGGTACATTTATGAAAGAATGTTAGATCAACTACACGTGTCCTCAGCGTCGAAAGACTTTTCTTGCCTCTGCCGAGGCCATGTGTCCTCGGCTCCAAGACCCCTGCTCTGACTGACCCCTACTCTGACTGATATGTTTTGTGGCTCTAAGGCGTGTTCCCTTGGCTCCAAGGTATCCCCCACTCCGGGGGTGAACCAAATGTCCTCAGTCCTAAGCGTACTCACACCCCGATCTCTCCATAGGTCTTCGACTTTTGGGAAGGCTAGTGACTGACAACTGAACAGCCTAAGTTAGATTAGGAACTATAATGACACTCTGCACAATAGAGTCAGAATGATAGAATGAATTGGACACTCAACTAGAGAGAATCAGATGCGTCGCATAAAGTACAGGATCAAGAGTAAAAAGACAAAACTACTCATGCTAATATACGGCTAGTCCAAGCAAGCATTTAATGAATCCCGAAATGATGTGACATCCACAGTGGTTTGAGAAGTTGAAGGTAGGGATATTAAATGCACTGGGCACCTAGCATTTAAAGTCTTTGCATGGAAGAAAGAACATTAACTATTCAGGAGTCCAAGCAATTAATACTGAGACATTCTCCACGCAAAATAAGAGGCACACTGCCCCATATCTGAAGGCTAACTATTGCCTAGACTACCAGTAATGATGAGCCTTTGAAAATATAAATAATCCTCAAAAACACATTGCAAAGGTACACAAAATCACCTCTTAAGAGCCATATAATATTTTCTTTTTTCCCTCTCTCAAAAAACTGACTTGATCGTCAAAAGGGATACGCTAGAAAATACTCCAGCACCCTTCTAACATGTTTCTTTGTGTGTCAGGAGTATCTTGCGACCCTCCAGAGTCGGCTGGACGTCCCCTGGAATAATTCATCACCACTCCTTAGGCTCCCTTTGGCCCTTTCAACTCATTCTTTACTACGGCCCCACACCCACCATCAAATTCGTCACGAGAGAGATCTATTTACCTTTCATCTATTGTGTAAAAATCATCTCGCACATAATACCTTGTACAAAGAAAGAACATCACACAATATTCTGGAAAAGAACCAAACCCCAAAATAGGGAAGTCAGTCGGAAATAGAGAAAAAAATAAAGAAAGTTGGAAGAGGAAAATCAAAAGCATAGATCGGTGGAGAAACTCGAACGTGAAGCACTGCTGCCAGGATACTCTGTTTTCGGTACGAAGAATGTTCTTTGGATTTAAAAATTTGACATTTGACTTAATGATATAATTTTATTAGAATTATTGGATTATAAAGAACAAATTTCAATGTTTAATGAGATTCACGGTCAATACAAATGTCATAATGAATTAAGTCATGAGGGTTAGTTTTTGATAAAACTCATTTTTATTTAGGCAATGTTATAGGGCCTTATTTAGAGATCTAATCTGATAATCTAATGTTGTGACTTTAATACAACTATTTTATTAGTTGTAAGTTTCAATATTAAATAGAGTCCACTACTAATCCAATGATTGTACATCGTTAAATCCTTAAATTAGATCGAAATAATATTTTTCTTTTATTTATATGCCAAGCCGATTGTCCCTCTGTTGGTGGAAGGTACTGGCCAGACCCTCTCTCTCTCTCTAATCCTCCTTACCACCCCGTCCTTGTAAAAGGATATCAAACTATCAGCATATCCACAAGTGAAGAATTTTAATATAATGCTTTTAGATATTTGGTAGTCGTTAACCACAGCATTTGTGCCAAATGGGCAGTAAGATTATCTTTCTAGGACTCATTGCTGTATCTTGCTATGTTGCCTCAGCTGCTGATCCGAGTCCCCTTCAAGATTTTTGTGTAGCAGACCAAAATAGCACAGGTATCTTAACATTATCCTCATGAGACTACAAATTTTCACTGAAATTGTATATGCTGTGTTATGTAGATGTTCTCATTCACTCTTTATGCTTGTCTGCTTAATGACAGTGTTACTGAATGGTTTTGCTTGTAAAGACCCGAAGGTTGTTGAAGCAAATGATTTCTTCTTCACTGGCCTTCACTTAAGGGGCAACACGTCCAATCGTTTTGGTTTAAGGCCGACCCCAGTCACAGTAGCTCAAGTACCGGGACTTAACACTCTTGGCATCTCCATATTCCGTGTAGACTTCGCCCCGTTTGGTGTTACCCCTCCTCACACCCACCCGAGGGCTAGTGAAGTCGTCCTGGTTTTGAAAGGCCAACTTGAAGTTGGGTTTGTCGCATCCAATCCCGAAAACCGTCCTATCACAAAAGTAATTGGTATGGGTGATATGTTGGCAATCCCATTCGGTCTTACCCACTTCCAACGCAATATTAGAAATGGAACAGCTGTTATCCTCGCGGTTTTTAATAGCCAGACGCCAGGTATCATCTTGATGGCAAATTCAGTGTTTGGTTCAAAGCCGGATATTTCCAATGATGTTCTTCAGAAGGCTTTTCAAGTTGATCAAAATGTTATTAGTCAACTCCAGAATCAGTTTTAGACCATCTACTATTTTGCAAAAAGAAGTTCAAGTAGTAGTGTAATTGAGTGGTTCCTTTTATTGTGTGAGGTTGACAGTTTAATTTCTTTCAATGTTGTGAAATCATTGATGTTTAATCATGATGAGCCGTGCTAACTCCCTTTAATTTAAGCCATTAGCTACGTTTGTTTATTAAAAAATCATTTATATACCCTTTAATATTATTGAACTAACAAACTAGAAACAAGTATTAAACTTGATGGGTTGGAGACACATGAAGCAATCAAGTCTCTGCTAGATCGGTACATCGAAATTAGGGCACTGAGCCACTAGAGTGGGGGTGGACTCTTAGAAGTTATAAATCAAAGCAATCGAGAGGACATAAAGCATAAAACAATTAGAGTCAAAGTAATTTGGCATTCCTAAAAGAAGAGAAATATAACTACTCCATAAGCCTACGGAGTTCAAGATATACTCATTGAAAACAACTATTTTTGAAGTTCGAAGGCCCAAGTGCATAATCATTCTATTAAAACTGAGACTCACTTATGTCCAGCAAATTGATTGACATGATAAGGGACAAAGAATGTTGGTTATGTCACTTTATTTACATAGAATCCCATGAGAAATTGACATAGATATATGACTCTTGCTTACGTAAATCAATCAGGTGATATCTCTAGAAACACCATCATTAAATGCTTGACCTCGAGCACGGTCATTATTCGATCTTTGACACCAATTGTTCACAGATTATTCGTAAGTGTAGTTAATGCACGGCTCGAAGCCAAACCCTTCTCGCCATTTCAGCAAATGCTTTAAAAAACTCCGTTTCTGGGTACTCTCCGGAATTGATTTTCTTTCTCTGATTCAGATTCCCGAAAAATGAAGTCTCCATTTTCGGGTGAACTAAACAGAGATACTTGGTCTTCAAGAACTTCTCAATCATAGAATCTGTATTTTTCTTGAGAAAATGAATTGAACCCACTGATTTTAACTTCTTGAACTAATCAAAGAAGAAAAATCGACTCAAATTATCATCTGTTAAAGCCGCGTTTAGGAGAGAAAAATTAAGTTTGTTGAACCCATCAAACATTTCTTTGCACACAAATGATTCAAAAGCGAAACCTTTGTGATTTGTACTCTTGAATATAACTCCAAGCTCTGTGGCATTTGAAGCAGCTTCGATATCCCAGTTCGCAGACTCCATTTCTCTGATCAAAAGTTTCGCAAAGTTCCTTATAGATTTCAACCCATAATTCAAAACCATTGTAAAATCTTTTGGATTTGAATCAGAGAGCTTAACATTATCAAGAATAGAGAAACAACCACTTGCATTAAGTTTCTTTTCGAGGGACTTGTTGTTCAGACTGGTCTCACTCAGTTCTTCCTTTAGTGAAGTAATTTCAGACTCTTTTTTGTCAACCTCATACTGCAATTTCTTCATGCTGGTCTCGTATGTAGGGTCTGATCTGAGAGGACCAAAAACGGTGCCGTATTTGGTGTAGGATTTTCGAAAAAAAAAAAATCCAAAATGCCATAACGGTGGCGTTTTATTAAACCACATAACATGCCGTAATTCCCCAACCGCAGAGGAGCCGGACCCAGTCGAACCCATACAATAGCTTTCATAAATTCTTGTTCGTACATCGGTTGATTTAAGTATCAGCAGAGATACGCCAAAGAATCCTTCGACTTCCTTGCTAACTCTTTCCGGTGATGCAAAAGCTTTGGTGATCCAACTAGGTGTCGCTACCTCATTAATTATCAAAAATCACCTCGTGCATAAGTTAATAGAAATTAAAAAGAAATCGATAAAGTTTTACATGCGAGTTAAATTAAACCACCAAAAAACTCTACCTCCTTTTTTCTACCAATGAATGACACGTGTAAAATATTTCATATTTTATTTTTTCAATTTACTCTATTATTTTAATATTAATGATCATAAATAAACCAACGCAAGACCTATGGGTATGATTCATTTTTTTGGCATGACACCTACTATAAATATATACTTAGTTAGATTATTAATGAGATTGACATGAAATTATTAAATAAAATGATTGATTGACTAAATTATAGGTAAATTACATGTTATACCCTAAAAAATTTTAAGATTCTCACTACCTCAAAGAATTATTTTTTCTCATTATAAACTTAATATATCAAAAGTGTTGTAATGTGACATTTCTGTTAATTTTTCGTTATAAAATATTGTTGAGATTCAAATTTTCAGATTGGATTAGTTAATTAAATCGAATATCTAATTATTAACGTATGCAGAAGTGGATTAAGATTTTGAAATCTATCAAATAAACGGATCAAATTTAGAACTCATATTCTTTATCGAAAAATCTCAAATTTTTTTATGAAATTTGAATCTAAACAGATTAAGATTCAATCCATTGACAATCGGTTGAGTTCTAAGATTAAGATTTAGAACTCATAACTCATGCATTTATGCTTTCTTGTTTACCTTAGGGCCGAAGTGGGTCCGTCTAGATAAATCAAAGACAACATTTTCTAATGATGTAGTTTCTAATGTCCTTATTATTGAGTAGAATGCATATTCCTCAAATTCTCATTATTATATTTGGTTAGAGAACTTTATCCCTCCTTTCCAATCTTCCATTTTAATTACAATTTAATTTTTTGGCAAATTTTTATAGAAACTTAATTCCAACAAAACAAGCTAAAATTTTCCTTTATATTTCAAATTTTAAAAAAATAAAGGCGTTTACATGTATTTTAAGAGTATCTCTAATATGTGATCTATTCTCATTCAATTTTTTATTTTAGAAAATTAACCCTTAAAAATTCATCATCTATAAGTTTTTTTTTTAATTTATTTAGACTACCTCATTAGAGAGTCCGATTTGATATTTTATATTTAGGAAGTCAAACTCACTCTCTAGTTCATTATTAAATCAAATCAAAATAAACTAATCAAACCAAATCTAATGTCCCAATTATTTGAGGTCGGATATATAAGTTTTTCTTCGACATTTATTTCGATCATACGATATACATTCATTTAAGTTAATTATTTGCATATATCTTCTTATTATTTCATTCAATGTTAATTTAATTCTACCTTACTCATAATATCATTAAGAGAAATTCTATCACTTTTTCTAACCAATGTCTCTATTGGCCTCCGTTGAACATGACTAAACTATCTTAATCTATTATCTCTCAACCTATCCTCAATTAGAGCTACTTCTACCATTTATCTAATATAGTTATTTTATATTCTATCATTTCTAGTTTTTTTACATATCCACCTTAACTTTCTTATTTTCTCTATACTCATTTTGTCACTATATTGTTTCCTATTGCTCAACATTTTGTCTCATACAATATTATTATCCTTATAGCTATTTGGTGAAAACATGTCTTTCAATTTTATTGGTATTTTTCTATCACATATGCTAGAGATTTTCCTTCACTTAAATCAATCGGCATTGATACTTTGAGTTATATTGTTTTCAATCTTTCTATCATTTTTAATGATCAATTTTAGATATTTAAATCGTTTACTCATTGGTATTTCTTAATTTTTAATTTTAATTTTTTCACTATGTCTACTTCTTCTATTACTAAAATTACATTACATTTATTCAATCTTACTCCTATTTATTTTAAACAATTTTGACTGAGTGTCTCTCCACATTTTTAGCTTATTGTTAATCTATCTCTCTTTAAGTTTCATCTACTAAGACTATCATCTATAAATAGCATACACCATATGACATCATCTTGAATATGTCCAGTGAGTTCATCTGATGATACATAATATGTGTTTATGAACTACCTATAAGAGTATAGAGTGTTCAAATATGAGAGATACCTCTCTTGTATAGGTGGGATTTGTAATTTATAGGCATTCCTAACAGAATATGGCGTCATTCTTAGAACAGGTGAGGTAGTTCAATAGAGGCGGCGTTATCCTTGTAACAGGCGAGACAATTCCGTGAAAATGGGAACGTGCGCATCTCATGGAGATCTCATCGCGTATCAGTTATGGACTAAATCACTTAAGATGATATGACCTAACTCTCTCAAGATAGTGCAACTGATTTGACTTAACTTCCTCCATTCTATGGTGAGATTAACGTGTATGGTTGAGGTGGGTCTGGTCTACGATTTTGGGTCTGGTTTGTATTTCTAGACTGGGTTTGGTCTGTAATTCTGAACTGGGTCTTTGATCTGGGTCGAGCCCATCCTCATCCTTAATTGGAGCAAATAAGTATGAACTTAGGACCGATATTTGGTATAATTCCCACCGTGATGGACACATACATTTTTTATATTCTCTCATAATTGAGCACTAATCAATGATCCTTGATTTTTTTTTCTCTTCGTTAATTACAAGAAATAAAAGTAAAGAAAATGATAAAATACACTTTTAGTCTATAAAGTATATATTTAATGTCTATTTGATTCCTAATCTTTTAATTGTATTTATTTAGTCCATAATATTTCTAATTTGTGTCTAAGTGATCCAATCCCAAACATCAGTCAAAAAATTGTGATGGTTTTGATCACACAAAAATCATGTGGTTCTTAATTTTATATATATTTGATATTTAAAATTTTTAAGTTGTGTCTATTTAGTTTCTAAAGTTTTAATTTTATATTTATTTGGTCTCACGTGATTGACACGTGATTAGAAAATTTAAAGATTTTTTGATGAACATTTGAGATTAGAGACCACATAAATATAAATTAAAAATCTTAGGGACTAAATAAATACAATTAAAAAATTAGAAACCAAATAAACAATATATAGATACTTTGGGACTACAAGCGTATTTTACCCGAAGGAAAAATTAAAGGCGCCAATAACAACAACGACAAAACGTTCAGTTTCAATCTCTCTCTCTCTCTCTCTCATACACACCGGCATAGAAATATATAAATGTTTCACACACACAGATGAACCAAAATCGACATTTTCTTTGATTTTTCAATGGCGGGTCTCTACAATACTCTCAGACCCACCTCATCATCATCTCCATCTTCCTCAAGCACCTTCATTTCTCGGCTTTTACTCTTACTTACAGTCCTTCCGTTATCTCTCGCCGCCTTCGCTTTCATTCTCCAATGGAAAGGAGGCCTGAATGACCCCACAACCCGGTGGTCCTCGGACCGCCATGAGTTCCCGGGTATGGTTCTCTCGGAACCCGTTCATTCTTCATCGTCTGACTGTGTGGATCTCCTGGGAAAGGGTAGCCTGCCTTCCTTACCCTACTACAAGAATTGGAATAACGATCTGAGGCCTAAGGTGATGAGAATTTTTATTCGGTTTTGGGTTTTCTTAGGGTGATTATCATTGGTGGGTCTGCGTTGGTATTTGGCTTATGAATTTGGTTTTGAATTTATGTCTACATTTTTGTAGGAGGTGTTGATTCTTGTATTGGGTTTTGGAGTTTCTTGGGTGATCATTGGTGGGTGTTGGTTGACTTGATGTGATTTCTCGGTTATCTTGATTCTTGGAGAAGAAAAAAATGGTTATACCATTGATTAAATTGAGTTAAGAGAGTATGGATAAAATTCTGAAAATTTGAATTTGTGCAAATATGATAAGTTAATCATATTTGAAGAAATGTTTTACTCAATTTAGAACATGAATGAAGTGATAAGTAGGGAAAATATGACAAGCTTGTCTTGTGTAGATGGATTAGATTGCTTCATTGCAAACTTAGAACTCACACAGAACAATGTCTTTCTATGATGATTGAAGCACTGAGGGTCTCTGTTTTTTATGACCATATTAATTTCTTTTATGCCTGATCATTTTTTAGTTAGTCAAACACTTTTTGCAACACTAAATATTTCCCCTAACATGTAAAAACTACATTTTTAAAATTTTTTATCTTGCTAAGCTCATCAATATGCAAGTCTATAAAATCTCAACTTTTTTCCTTTCTTCAATAGGAGTGTTGCGATATGGAAATTCTATTGACAATGGATCGGTCAGGCAATGTATTTAGATTTTAGATGCAATTGGAAAACATCCCTTCATGCTTCCTTTCTACTCTGTGACTGCTTTGATTGCATTATAGCTATCTTTTGTTGCTTTGATAGTTCATTGTGACCTGTTAGTCTATTTTGCTGATTTGTTAGAGATGTATGGTAATGTCATCAAAGCAATTTATGACCTTTTTCTTCTTATTTTTCAAATTTTGCTGCATACCAGATATGTATAACTACAAGCACTTCTGCTGGCTTAGATCAGATCCTTCCCTGGATTTTTTATCATAAGGTTATTGGGGTTTCAACCTTTTTACTATTTGTTGAAGGAAAAGCTGCATCTCCTACTGTATCTAATGCCCTGGAATCCATTCCGGTGAGTCTAAACATATGATTTTTTAGAATTCTGTATTTTGATGTCCCCTGTTGTCTTACATTGACACCTTGCAACTTCATTTTTCAAACTTCTTTTGTTTCCATTAAACATATCTTTGGCCTGAAGTTTTTGAATTTTTATGATTCTATGCTTCTCTTTTGCAGGGGGTAAAAGTTATATACAGGACAAGAGAATTAGAGGAGCAACAAGCTAAAAGGCTAGTCCTCTTTGTTTTTTGTAGCTTTATCTACTATATTTTGACTGGAGAAAACATTATCTTTGTATTTTTATTTACCAATTAATATACAAGGGTAAATGTTGATTCATATGTCATCCTTAATCTCCACCACTGGCCTTTTATGCCCTTCTGTATATATTTCAATGGTTCAGCCAACGAGCATTAGTAATTTGGTGAAGTCATACCAATTTAGAATTAGGAGTGCTGTTCAAATGTGTTCAGCTTTGTAGTACACGTCCTTTACAATATATGCTTATCTATACTATTAATAAAGGGAGAGAGTGGATTTTGTAATCTAGCTTTATTAATAGTTATTAATAGGTAGATTAATAGTAATTCCATATAGGGTTTGACTATACCGTACCACTTATCATCTTTTGGCGTACCACTTATCATCTTTTGGGTTACCACTGTTTTGGTGTAGCTTACTAATTTTTAGGGTGTACTCAACTTTTTTGGTTCACTAACCACCTTTTGAGTTGGAACTTATTATTTTTTGGGTGAACATTATTACTTTTTTGGGGTTTTCCACTTTTGGGTGTGGTACCGAAAAGTAAAAGTTTGGTACCATAGTGTTCTCCTTCAATGTAATATTCCTTTTAAAAATAATATATGAAAATACAAGCCCATTAAATTTTCATCTATAACTTTACATCTGAAACTTCCCTCTCTCTCATTTCTCTTCCTTAACCGTCTCTCTCATTCATGACGAATACTTCTTAACCATCTCTCTCTCAGCTAACCAAACACTTCCTTAACCGTCTCTCTCATCCATGACTGACACTTCTTTCAAAATATGTTATGCACGCATCAATTTGCAAATGCATCGCGTGTGCCACAGAATCTATTATCCTATAAAAGAAAAGGTGGAGAGATTATAATTTTTCTGTCCCTTGGAGTTTTTTTCTTAATATTTTCTCTAATGGATATATCAATGAAGTAACAGATTAGTAAACTTAAAAAATGGGTGAAGATGCAATTATGCAAAGCTAGAAAAATTTTACCATCATTCGGCCTCTAGCTTTAGAATCCATCTAGAAGGATTCTAGCCGTTGTGTCGCAATAAGGTAGGCCATTGTGGAGAAAGAAGTAGCCATTACAAACAATACACGCTTCTGTTGTGGTATCCTTTGCAGTTTTTAATACCCTCGTTGAGGTTTTGACATCTCCCTATAGAACATTTGATTTTCTCAAGGGTCGTTTAGCTGCTGAAATGCCAAATGATAACTATATGGTCTGGTTGTTTCACTTTTCAGAATTCTTTAGAACTTTGTTCTTCTGTCAATGCATTACAAAATACTATTTGTTTATGGACTGTTCTTCCATGTTTTTCGATCTTTATCATCTGGGGTCTTTAGCCGGATTTGGAATGAGACTTGGTTAGCAAGCTTCTTCTACAAACCATGCAACTATGAGTTATTTGTAAAGCAATCCCTCAACATGGAAATGGCAATTGTGATTGCACAGGTATGATAATTTCCTACCAGTAGTTGTGTTCATGATGTATTCTGTATTGCTAGTGACACATCTTGATTAAGATCTTGACCTCGCCTCTTGTAGGAAGCTGGCATGGATTGGATCATCCATCTGGACACCGATGAGCTACTGCATCCAGTGGGCGCTTGTGAGTACTCTGTCAGAAAGTTGTTGTCAGATGTGCCTGGAGATGTTGATATGGTTATCTTTCCAAATTACGTGAGTAAATTGTCTTATTTGAAATGTTATTTGTCTAGTATATTCATGTGATGGCATGTATAACTGTTAATAGAAGTTGCCTCTCTCTGCTGTCCCTTTCTGTTTGATCATAATCATCACATCCTTTGCCAGCAAAATTAAATGGATTATTTCATTTTTTTATTTTAGGAGAGCAGCGTCGAGCAAGATGACATTAAAGAACCTTTCAGTGAGGTAACATTTATTTGCTTGTTTTCTTCTTTTCCATGTACATTTCTGCCTGAAATTTATTTTTTATGGAATTAATGTAAGATCGTGATATAAACTGAGCCGTTTGATTCTTTGGGGTGAAAAGTGTCAACACTTTTGCTGGACAAGATAGCACATATTGTTGTTTTATGTTTCCTTAGTATTTGATTTGATGATGGAAATCGGGCTTCCAAGAATGCAAGCATGATTGTGAGTATGAGGGCAGTCGTTTGCTGAAATTAATACCACATGATGTATCTGTGATGTTCCCATAGGTGTCAATGTTCAAGAAGAATTATGACCATCTTCCAAAAGAGACATACTTTGGCAATTACAAAGAAGCAACTCGTGGTAATCCGAACTATTTTTTGACATATGGAAATGGGAAAGCTGCCGCCCGTATTCAAGATCATCTTCGTCCTAATGGTGCTCACAGATGGCACAACTATATGAAGACCCCTAAGTATGGTGGCTCGTTAGCATATGCAGTTGTTTATTGTGCATTATCTCTCATTTTCTTTTAATGGATGCATGTGTGCTTAAGAATTTCTCTATCTCTACATCTACATACAGATTCCCAAAAGGTGGAGGTACGAATTAATGCTGTTTTGAAAGTGTAAATAGATGCTTGTTACATGTTAGTTTATTGGAATCATGGCCGTCACATGTATTTGTATAGCCACTTTGTTTTTTCTTTGGACACGTTTCTTAGATAGTTAACAATTATTTCTTCATAATAGATTTTAATCATCATATTGTCCGCTCCTTGGGCTTAGATTCTAGTTTTTAGAAACTCTGTGGAATTTGCAGAACCTTTCTTAATAGCTAATAAGAGCATTACAGAATTACTCTGTTCACTCATTACAGTACGATCCAATTGGATGAGGCTGCTGTTCTGCATTACACATACCCCAAATTTTCGGATTTTACTTCAAGACGGGATCGGTGTGATTGTAAGCCCACGAAGGAGGACGTTAAAAGATGCTTCATGTTAGACTTCGATCGAGCTGTAAGTTATAATGCATTTATATTACATTTTGAAGTGTCTCTTTCTCTGTCGGAGAGAAATGCCAGTTTAAGTATTTCCTTTTACCTTTCTACGCAGGTCTTGTGCTATTTCAATTAGATTCTGCTTTTGTGTTTTGTCTTATTATAAATTTTTTGTAAGACTTGGTTGATCTAAATTGTATTTTTGATGGTTTATATTTTTATTTTGTACGCTTTCATTTCTCTCTCTCTCTGTCTCTCAGACACACAGATTGACTTCCACATCAAATAATTAGCTAGATGTAAGAATGCATATAGAGTTTTCCATACTCCCATCACAATTTATAAACCCTCGTCTTTTCAGAAGCAGGACATTGGGATTCTTGGTGGTAGGTATTATCCTTACTGTTCTGGCTTTCTAAATCTGCTGTACCTGTCTCCTACTTAGCACTGGCCAAGAGTTCCCTTGGAATAAGGATAATGATTTTTTTTTTGTGAGTGAATTAGAATATTAAACTAATGCTAGGGATTGATGTTGGAATTAGAATAGGCTTGGTGGCCGGGCATATTCTGGTCAACTGGCATACGTGATTTTCTTTTTAGTTTTTCTCACATTAGGAGGTTTAGGAATGATATTACTTCCCAATCCAATTTATTCTGCCTTTTCGTTGGGATTGGTTCTTGTTTCAGTTTCTTTTGTCTCGATACATCCTGCAATTTGTTGCCTTTTCTTCCAACCTCTAAACATTGTATTTAAATATTAGTAATGGTGTACTATTCATTATACTTGCTGCTATATTACAAAGATTCTTTGCTGCAGGCATTCATAATTGCTTCAACTGCGACACAAGACGAAATGCTTCACTGGTAATAACTATACCAACAGATGCAGCTTCTGATTTCCAAATACTGTTTCATGTCAATCGGAGTATTTAGCTTTTGATGCTTTATGTTATGATGAACATTTTTCATGTAGACTTGGTAAATGTCGCACCGTTAAGACTAGATGCTTACTAATATGGTTTGTCCTTGAAATTCATAAGTGGTAATGTAGCATTAATTTTACTAAAAGACTTTTAGGGAATGGGTGGAAAAACTCCTTTTGGTAGCTTAAAAACAAGTTGATTACAAAGAACAAAATCCAGCCCCTTTATGTAATGCAGGAATTACATTTTACAAGCAAAATTTTCTATTAGAAACTCATTGAACTTCCACGCAGAAATGTATTGTAGTCCATTACATGACTCAAGTATGTGTACAAAATAAGATTAAAAATGGTAAGCCAAAGAGAATCATGAATAGTGGGGCAAAGGTGAAGTAGTGGTTAGAAAGGAGAGGAAGGTTAGGAAAGGGAGAAAGGAAAAACCTCAGTATAGTCACAGTGAACCAATGTATGTGCAATCAGATCATGTGGAGTTGGCTTTCAAGAATCCAAACGACCCCACTGAAACGTAAGTTTTAGGAAAAGTGGAGGAGGGGACAGGGGAAAGAGAGGAGACGGCAGCCACCTTCAGGGTTCTTTTGTTCCTTGCTTCAAATAAGGCATTACGTGCTGATGCTATAGGTGGGGAAACCCTAAGACTCTAAAGGTAGCCTTTGCTTTGACCCTTTTATTTTATCATATCAAATAATCCCAGAACAAACTAACTTTCTTAGAAAGTATGTGTCTTGTGTCTGACCACATTAGTGAGTGTGAGAACCCCCGACACCGCTAGTATTATGTGCATCAATCAGATATCTTGAATAAGCATGACCAAGGTGATAAACACAGAATTGAAACTTCCACAAGGATTCAAATAAAGATGAGAATAGGGGTAATCCTTGCAATCTGAGCCACGTAGGGAGGCTGCCAACAATATATTACATGTAGAATCTTGAATATATACTCTTATGTGCATGGTTCCATGGTTGATAACTAGTATTCTCTTTCACTTTACGTCTGATTAAAACACAAGCGTATTTGTAAACGCCCTATTAACTTCAATCTGGGATTAGACAACTCAGTCTGTATAATAGGCACAACTGTCTTCATTCGTTCCTTTATCCATGCCCGAATTATGGTTTATATCTGAAGCATTTTAGTTGTGGAATTACAGAAAATAATGGATAAAGGTACCTCTATTCTGTAAAATGTTTTCATATGTAAAACGCCTAATTCAAAACAGGGTGTTAGGAGGGTCTTTCAAATCTTGAAGTTTCTTTTGGACTCAATTTTTTTCTCTAAAAGAGAGTTTTATCAAAAGTTTCTCTTGATAGGTAAATTTTTCTGAATGTGAATCGAGGATGGTATTGCACATTAGTGTTGGGCTTGCTGAGTGGTGTTGATCCTCACAGAATTCAAGCTCAGTCTATATAACTGTCTTTTTTAAGAATCCAGGCTCTTTCTATATAAAATTTGATATATCTTTTGTTTTCCCTTCACTAAAATACGAACTTCCTATCGAGTTATAGAAGTAGAATAAATGAGCCCACCTTCTGAGGTCTTGTTCTGCCAAATGGACTGTCACAGGTATGCAGCTTCTTGGTTGAGGACTAATATGGGATTTCAACTTTTCTCAAGAAATAACGAGACGACCATCTCACCATTTCTTACACATTCTTATGGTCTCCTCCTTAATTGACTGCCTTCGATGTGGCCTGTCCTGGGCACTTCTCACCAAAATATCGGCCATACCTGTATATGGGCATGGCTACTAACATCTGATGTTATGTCAAAAAATTGTTACTTTAAACTTTTAGTGCATACCCTTTGCAAACAAAAACAATAATTGTTGATTCATCTTCATGTCTGCAATATCCATGAATACATTATCACCTTGATTTGTTGTGCAACAGTGCATTTCAATTGTCTCTTTTATATGTTTACTTGCTCATGCTTCTCTTGCTTTAGGTACCGGGAACACATTGTGTGGACTGACAAAGCACTAAATATTAAACTTTTAAAGAAAGGCATTTTGACTCGCATTGATGCTCCCATGGTCAGTTCAATTGCCATAACTTTTAGCTGTAGTGTCTGTATTGTTTGTAGCATATATCGGAAGCTATAATATTATATGACTATATTATATGTATGCATCCCCACACGTGATCAAATTTTCTTTAAATTCTTGCTTATTTTTCGGTGCTTACAGGTCATTGTTCAAGGGTTGAAGGATACTGGCATTTTCAGTAATGTGATTGCGTCAGCTCAGACAAGCCTCTCAAAAGGAAAGCTTTTATCATCGATCGAGAGTAGTAATCCATCAAAAGTCGCTGCTGAATTTGGGGGAATCTCTTCAAGAAAGATCGGTGGAAACATGGAAGAATCTCAAGCTACTGCAAGTAAGGTTTTGGAAATTGAAGGTTCTGATTTTCATGCAATGCCACCACAATCTCCACCTGCCATTACTGATATCCACCTTGATATGTATTAGCCTTTTCATTTACAACATTCTCTTCCTCTCCATATCTGTCTTCATCACAATGCTTGAGACTGTTTTTGTTTGACGTATTTACTTTTACAAGGAATTTGCATAAAGGGGAAGAGGGGGGGGGGGGGGGGGGGGGGTTGGAGCTGGTCTGGCTGTTCTATTGGAGCACTTCAGCATTCTGTTTCATGGGAACATTCACGATCATTACCAATCGTTAGTGTACATTTCAGGCATAGATAAAGATTCTTAGGCCGGGATGTAAAGCAGGATACTAGATGTGGTTCTTTTTTACTTTCTGATCCTATTCTTTTGCCAGACATCTAGGATAGCAGGATTCTAGGGAGAGTCTGGAGAATGTCGGGTTCTTTCTTTTCATGCGGGTATTGTTCCTAATTTTGTAATATAAACACAAAAACTTTGATGGTTTGGCCTATATTTGAAGAATGCGAACAGCATACAGTGAATATTGTGCTGGTTTTGTTCAATTGGATTCACCTTGAATGCAGCTATTCTTGCTTGAATGTTTTATTGTGGCTGCAGTTGCTTATGAGATATTGTGAGCTTCATTTGAGCATAACAGGTGTTACTTGAAGTATTGCTTATCTTAAACTATGGGCCTTTCAAATGTAGACTTTGTTCATTGCTTTTAAACAAGGAATTACTTATTTTTCATGAAATTTTGAGATGAGGGGTACAAACTATTAGGCTATAGCTTGGCTGATACCATTGCTAAATCTATCTTCCTGTTATAAAACTAGCAAATTAATGTAAGTGTAAATGACTAGTTCGAACAAAACAAATTGAGAAATAGACTACTCTCAGAGAGAGAGAGAGAGAGAGAGAGAGAGAGAGAGAGAGAGAGAGAGATTTCATTCGGTGTATTTGTCATTCAGAAATGGAAGTACATAACTCTATTGTACTGTCAGTAGGAGTGCAATTATACACAAACATGAATGCGGTGATTGTCATCCATCTTCTACCCATGTGCTAATGTCATTTACAACACTATTTAGTACTATATATTACTATTTGTGTATAGTAGTCATCCACATTATAAACAGTATTTATAATACTTCCAACTTTTTGAAGATTTTATACCATTGGTCCTTCAAGTTTGTTACGGACTCGAGTAGAACCAGAAATTTGTCATAGTGGATGTAAAAATTTTAGTGATAATAACATTACATGTATTTAATTTAGAGATCTAATGCGGCATTATAGTTAAATGGATTGTATTCAATGATGAGATCTACTATTCGTTCAATGATGATAATATATGATAACAATAAAATGAAAAAAATTGAATTACTAATACATAAAAGAAATGACACTGTGTGCGGGATCTTGATACTACAAGGTATAGGCAAAATCAAATGTATGTGACTTTTTACTCTGTATATAAGAGAATATTTTTGCAACTTGAATGACTAGATAATAATGTTACACCTTTACTTTTATAGTTATTATCAACTAATTTTCTTATTATTAAAATTGATATCTTACCATTTAATAGATGGGCTTTTTTTCATTTGCTCTCTAAAAGATTTTAAAATTCTTACTTTACACACTTAAAGACTAAATTTTTCACATTATAATCTTAATATATCAAAAGTATTGCAATGTGGCCTTTTTATTAACTTTCGTTATCTTTTTTTTATCAAAGGTCAACCCTTACTCAAATTTAAACTCAAATTTAAATTTGAGTATAAAAGTCTAAAAAATTTGCTCCAACCCTCGACTTAAACTTATACCAAATCAAAGCAGACTCTTTTTTTTACTCAAATCAAGAGAGACTCAAATCTTTAATAATGAGATTTCACCATCGTTTAAAGATTCAAAAGTCATCTTTACTACCTTTTAAATTTGAGTTTGCCTTCATTTAAATTTGGGTCTCTTTTTCTTTAAATTTGAGTTTGTCCATTGGAGTCTTTTATATTAAATCAAGCTTTTTATTCAAATGTTAATTTAGATTTAAGTAAAAATTTGAGTCATAGTTGAAGATATTTTAACAATTGATAATTTGAGTAAAAATTTGAGTCTTTCTTAATTTAATATGAATTTGAACATAACGTTGAAGAAGATTTTTAAAGATTTTTTACACAAATTTAAATTTGGAGGAAGGACTAAGTATGCTCTTAATTGTGGCCGTTTAGAGTAAACTCTAGAGAAGACATAAAATAATTTTTTTAATTTAAAAATTGTTTTTCACGTGTCTTTTGTTTGTATTTGAATTAATTTATATTACCAAAAGTATCCCTTCAATGAAGGATTATATTTGACTAGTCGAACTTAGGAAAACTATCCCTTGATTGAAGGAATTCCATTATTTTTATATACTATATGTGTGTGTGCGTGTGTAAAGTAAAGAACACAAGTTATGTACGTACGAACAAATGTTCCAAGTTCAAGAATTTTTCTATTGTTTATTATCTCTTCATCTCCCTTTTCTCGTTTATTATATCTTGATCACATACACCTTGTATTACTTTATGGTATATCATAGTCATTGCCTTGGAAAAGCGTCTTTCCTATCTGTAGGTACTTGACAAAAACACAATCATAGTAAATATCAAAAGAACAATAATTATCACTAGCCAATTGACTAACAGACAAAAAATTAGTTATTTCGACTAAGTCAGATAGAGAAGACCTGAGGTAAGCTTGCAGTAACAGATTGTGTAGCAAGTTCCATTGTTGTAGTGGAATGTTCACAACAGGAGCACTGAAACAAACTACGAACTAAGTGGTTAAACAGCGGTCTCCATCTCCTCCTATTTCCTTCATCTGTATAAGTCAAAGAGAAGCCTTCTGGTTCGAGAATTCAACTGGGTACAGTCATATGGAACCGACAGAGTTTATGGATATATGAATCATGGGTTGTCCAAGTCATTGTCACTGAATCGATTGATACTCTTCAAAGTTAAAACTTATTCGGCTATGTAACATTTTGTGTGTCATTTGAAACCACCACGCGATGGAGCAACTATGAAACTCAGTGCCTTCTGAACTGATCACCGATCCCACAACCTTAAATCATTTACCTTGTTTGATGATCTGATATCGTGGATGCAGCAGCTGGACTCAAGTTAAGTCAGTGCAGGAGTCTTAAGGTTTCTCTTGTGAAATATCTGAGAAACCCACACCTTAGCATAGGAGTCTTAAGGTTTCTCTTGTGAAAATATCTGAGAAACAACCTGTAACCCACACCCTTGCAAATTATGCTAGGTTCTTTTCATAACAACATAGTTGGATTGAGGTGGTGCATGGCTGCTGCTTCGCCTTCCTCCTACTTCTATTTCATCTTCTTCAGAGCCTGTCAGCAGTGATCTAGTTAGTACCGTGTCCGAACCAGCAATACTAAAAGCAACAATCACCATGAGTAAACACAAACCGCTAATGAAGAAAGTTCTTTCAGTAGACACGACTGGTGCATCCACATTAGAAGAGTCTAGAAGAAACACCATCTACGGATCATGAGAAGACTCGATAAGAATAGAACAAGTAAGCAAACCCCTTCTGAGTAAGGCAATTGGCTTCGAAATCTAGAACCAAACACCACGTTTATTGTTAACTTGCTACAGGATAGTATTGACTTTAGCATCAAGAGCTTAAAACACAAAGAGAGACCAAAATAATAAAGGTATACATACAACAAACATATCCACATGACAACGTATCCTCCCGACTCCATAGAACATGTTCAAAATCATAAAGGAAACTCTTCAGAAACAGACTATAAAAATGAAAAAAAACAAAAAACAAAATTGGCAACTCTGCTGGGGGATAATTCACCCTTCTTTCCGATGCCTGAGATAATTAATAGAATGAAATAAACATTATTTATTTACTTCACATTCAAGAAACTGGTTTCTCCTAAGTCCATGCCTGTCCACCTTCACCCAACTCATGGTGACTAACAAGACCAGAATTATTTAAGTCCCATTGCCTCGAGGATGATCTTTTATCTGCAGTTGGCTGCTCCCCAAAAAGATTTCTCCTTTCCCTCCCCTTTCCATTCCTCCACACATTTATCCCCTGATAGTCATTGCTGTGAAACCTTGATGTTTTGTACCTCGACATATACCTATCAGTATTCCCACTCTTCCAATTATTGACATCCCATGTATTTGTATCATTCACAACTTTGGATTCGTAGTTATTATTTTCATGCTGGTTCCATCCCCAAGAATTATCCCAACCATCTCCCCATCCATTCACTTTCACAGGTGTATTATTCTGACTGCAATTACCTTCCCATGGATTGTCATTGTTACACAAAGAAGACTTGTTAGCTCTTTTTAACTCCTCTTCAACTTCCCCCCAACCAGTAGTTGAGAATCCTTGATTTGCGAGGAGTGAACTACCAAAAATGACAACATGCTCATCTTTTTCATCTGCATCAGGAATCACAGGTTCACGTTCCAAGTCCAACAGCAGCTCAGGATCAATTTTGGAATCCCAGTCTATTTCATCAATGTATATATCAGGATCAGGCAATGATATGTCACAGGGCAGACCATGTGTCCTTGCAAAGAACCGGCTCTTAGCATTGTTGAATGCCTCCTCTCCTGCAGAGTCATTCCACTTTACCACATTCTCAAAAAGGTGCATAAATTTCTTGGTTTCCACAATCTTTTCCCATTGAGGCAAACCACCCAATTTGCAGAACATTTTTTCCCATGAGGGCACAGTTGGTTGCCAACTTCCTGCCATAAACCCATAAATGTTAGGAAAATCAATATAGATACGAAAAGCAGACAAACAATAGCCCGATTGCTAAACTAGAGAACAACTGCCAGAGAGGGAAAACAATCCAGAGAAATGATACGAGAAATAAAAATAGCAAAAGTGACTTCAAATTTCATTCGATGTTTGAAACAGCAAACTACAAGGACAACGGCGAGGGAAGCAGATAGAATACTGGAGCATAAATGAAACATGGAAGCGTAACGCCACGAACATTAAAAAATCTCAAACTTAAAAGACAAAAAAATGATTGCAATAATTATGGGTAAAAGTGGTAAAAAAGAGAGACAAGTGAAACTATTAATAACAGTATAAAGAAAGGGGTAACTCTTGTAAACAGTGTAGCTTGCCATTATCAACAGTTTCACTTGTCATTTTTTTGGCCACTTTAACCATTATTATCAAGGTTTTCCGTGTGCCCTGCCTTAAACCTCTAAGGCTTCTTTAGGTCCGCGCTGCCCACACTTGTAGCCCTTTTATAATTGTCGTATTCTGCCAACGCCCCATGAATGTACTTGTCGTTTGTTAATAGATGCATTGGTTATTGTTTAGGAAATTGTTGCCCTTTTCCACTCACGTCATTCCTCTAAATTTGTTCCTCTATGTCATTTTTTTTTTTGATGTAACAGTTAGGGAAAACGACAACTTGTTGGCAAGATATGCCAAAGAGACACAAATCAATATTTGATTAGCACGTAATCAACAATGAAATTTCAAACCTCCCGCCATTCTCTTGTCACATGACTTATTAACGTTTTAAACTGAATTAAACTGCTCTGCAAATGACGGCGGGCTGAGTAGTATGAACTTGTTTTCTTACATATTATCCATAAGTCGCAATACCAAACCAAAAATAGAAACATATCAGCCAAGATCCTCCCCATTCACATGCAAAGGTTCACCATCATTGCAGCGCGGGTGGTTTAAACAAATTGAGAACAAACTACCATCCATAGTCAGAAAACACCAATCATCACATGTAAAATTCTAAACTATAAATGTCAAAGTTGATTTCAAGTTTTTAGCATGTCCATTGAACCCAATACAGCATTAAAAGTTCCCCATCAGTACAACATCAATAGAAATCATTTTTTTTTGTTCAAGGCATCTTTAGAAATCCAAAAGAGCAAAAGCAGGGTTTTCTCTTCTTCTTCTTCTTCTTCTTCTCTTTTTCTTTTTTTTTTTTGGTTTTTGTTTTGGTGGGGAATGGTGCTATAATTAACATGCATGTGAATAAAATAAAGAATAGAGAGAACCTCTACCGATGACAAAAGCCCTAAGCAGAGCCAGCTAATTGTAACAGACAGAAATCAGCCATTAGAGCAAAAATAAATAAATTTCACACCCTAACAGCACAAATTCTTATCTGCAAATCTAATGAACACGCTCTTGTATTCGAACTGAAAAATCCAACCCTAAAAATTAAACAACAATTAACAATCATCAAGTGCATGGGTTCTCAAAATTCAAAGAAATCCCATGTCCTCCTTCCAAAAACAACTGATCATCTAATATAAAATAATGCAACCATAAAAACTGAAAAGGAAGAGCCATTATCTACAGTCATACATACCAAGAGGTGGCTTCTTATTCTGTGATCTTCTCCATGTAACTTCTTGACTGTAATTGTCTCCTTTTTGCCGCCTCCAACCACCCATGATCACACCCAAAACTATATTACCACAAAGATTTGATCAGTAGTTCCAAAAAAAGCAAAAAAAAAAACTGCGATTATTGTACAAGAACAGTAGTTCTAGAAACTACGAAAACCTCAAGTTACGAGAGAGAAAGAACAGGAATTGTAGCGAATATTACAGATGGGTATGCGAATCAAGTGTCAGAGAATCGATCGAAACCACAAAAGGGTCTGATCTGTGGAAGCCCTTCAGAGAAGCGAAGGGTTTATAAGTGTGATCAAAAGAGAGGAAACTCCCAGAATTTCAAAAACTTCCAAAACGCGTTGTTCGAAAAGGAACAAGCAAAACTCTTACGTTTCGTAGTCCTGTTGCCTCCAGTTCAAAGCCCCCAGTTTTCTAGTAAATCACAAAATTGGTACGATTCTTCTCATAGAAGGACTTGGATTAACAAAAGAACCCATTTAATTCGGATCGGGCTACCATATTGTTGTGGTACTATACCGAAATTAATTTGTGACGATAAAATTTAGTATAAACAATTTATAAAAATTGATTATTAAAATAATAAAAATAAAAAATTATATACACATTTTCATTTTCATTCTTGATAAATCCATCATCATATAGTAACGAGGGACGCGTTTATATATACTATGTATCGCTCGAATTTTTCCTATGTATTCTCTTCAAAAAAGAAAGTATACATATATATATTAAAGGGATCTCACTTCATTTACTTGACATTTTATTGAAAAGTTTTTTTTTTTTCTGAAAAGTATTTCTTTGATAAGTTTGCTTCTATACATTCTTGGAGGAATGAATATTCGGTAATATGGTGACATCACATCATCTATTGTATATTGTGTTGGTACATTTTAATATTATATATAATTTATTGTACTAATATATATTATTTATATACAAGAATCTTTATATCGAATGTGTAATACATATGTATGTATCATATAATTACATACATGTACATGAATACTATTTAATATATATTAATTATTTTTAATACATGAATCATATTTATTAGATATATGTATATTATATATACATGAATGAGTTATATACATGAACTCTAGAAGGTCTGTTGCATTGGTTTTGAGCTTTGCCATCTGTAGAGAGTTTGAATCTCCTTAAAGAAAGTTCAATACCCGCTCCCCAACCTGAATTATTTTGTGTCAAATGTCATTATTTTGTACTTTGCTTCTTAATTTATTGTAATATCACCAACATATTGTTAATTATATAATTATTGATAGTGAGTGTTAGACAACTAAAAAATAAAATGTTCAAAAATTGAATGTAGCGAAAATGAGAATGGTAAGATAAATGTGTGATAAAATTAGAAAACGTAATTATAATAAAAATGTCTGTAGAAATATAGAGCTAGCACAAATAGAAAATAAATTAAGAGATAATCGGGTTAAATGATTTAGACATTTTTATAAATGGCATATTACCAAAATAGTAAGCAAGAGTGGTGTGAAAGCTATTGATAATAATAGAGTAAGTAGATGAAGATCAAAATTAACGTTTATTAAATTATGATCTAATAGAAATAGTCTACTTCAAAATTAAAGTTACTTGCAGTAGTGGTCTCTAAAGTTTGTACTTCGTCCCATTGTAGTCCTTAATGTTACAATTGTATCACACCGGTTCTTGATGTATTAAATTTATTGTTAAGTCCTCTCCACGTATAACGCAATCTAAATTTTTAACAATTTTTGCTCATATACTTCAGACATACTCTTAAATGAATGATATTTTAGACAAATCACTATCTACTTGACTCAAAAATTACGACAGTAGTCCCCAAAGTATACTTTCCGTCTCATTTTAATCCCCCCAACATTACACTAGTAGCACATTAGTCTCTCACGTATTGTAGTGTTGAGAGACGAAGATGAGACGGATAGTATACTTTGGGGACTATTGCTGAAATTTTCAAGTCAACTAGACAACAATTTGTCAAAAAAACCTTTTATTTGGGAGCATGTGAGAAACACAAGCCAAATTTGTTAAAAATTTAAATGACGTTATACGTGGGGACTATTTAAAGACAAATTTAATATATCAGAGATCAATCTGATACAATTATAACATTAGATACCAAAATGAGGTAAAGTGCAAACTTTGAGGACCACCATCGTAATGAACCCCCAAAATTATGAAGTCAAAGGTTTGTTGAGTTAAGCATTTAGCTCTACATATCTTGTTGCAACATTTTTATCATAAAGTCTTGTGTACACTCTTCCTTCAAAGTAAATGGTTGGTGCCATCATCAAATATAAACACATCATATATATTGACAAACACGTGTGTGTTATTTATTAGATTATTTAGGGTGATAGTATTGATGTTTGTGTTAAATTTTGATTGAATTGGGAATGTGGTGGTTCAATAATGGGGGATAATGATGATAATAGGGTTATGGGTGGTGGAAGATGGAGAAGAAGCAACTAGATATAGCAAGTGAAGGAGGTAATGTGTTGTTCATGTGATATTAGTTTATTTTGGACATTGATATCTAATTAGTCACCATTTAGTTTACTAAGTAATAACTCGAATTTCTTCGTTTAATATTTGGGTTTGAATTTTTACAGTTATGACAATTCATTGAAGTTAAACTTATATATTCGTGCCCCAAAGCAATCGATAAAACTTTTGACAATTCTAGATCCAAGTGAACCTGGGCCCAAATCATGAGTTAGGTTCGAATGATAAAAAAAGGCTAGGTTTAGTTCAAGGATTTGGTCTAGTCAAAACCTTAAGAGTCCAAGAAAGATCAACACACGTAGGAGAACAATCATTAAGATAGTCATGATTCCGAGATAATGTCTGTCTCCAACTGTAGTTTATCCTTCCCAAAGGATTAGTAACTTGACATTTACGTCTCATCTAAGGCTCTGTGTCTATAAATTGTAGACATTTTCTGCAGTGGAGGGACGACACGTTGAGCATCTTCTTACCCTTGTTCTCTCTCTCTTCCTACCGCCTACAACCCTATTTTCTTATTAATAAAGTTTTTTGGCTATCATTGTTGCCTTCAATAGTTAGATCTCCCAGACCCAACCACTCAATCTCTGTCTCAATTATTAATTCCTCTATTATTTATCTTATGACATACACTTCACTGATTTGATTGTACTTAACATATTTTGTGCATCATCAACTTTAACTTCAACCCTACCCTAGATGTGATAGGATCTTTCCGTAGAAAGTTGTGTTGTGCTAAATGACAATACTCTTAAGGAATATGTAAAATGACCTAACTACATATTCTTTTTTGCCACAAAAAAAAAAATAAAGCAAAAAAATAATAATGTAAAAGTTTACATGCGCCGTAGCTATTTGGTTGCAAGTGGTATCTAAAATTATTCTTCTGTATTATACTAAAAAATAATTTTTTGTCGCTATTTTTTATTTAATTCAATTATCATTAATCATAAAAATAATAATATTAAAAATAATACTTTTATATGTGTTATAATTTATTGAATAAAAAAATATTATTTTAAAAAATTAATTTTCGATATTATAATTTGAGCGATATTCCACGTG